ACACTAGTTGAAGCATAAAATAGTGACGAAAGTTCTCAAAGATCATCAAATTAATTCTATTGTTGGGAAGAGAACATAAATATAATATGTTTGCAATAAATACATTTATTGCAAGTAAACTTAACAATGAAGATAGCGCCTAATAGACAAATTAATCAAAATTATAAACCTTATTTTTCAATATACATTTTAACTTTCTGAAAGAATTTTTGTGTTTTCGCGACTTTTCAAGTAATTTTGAACCGTTTAAAACCAAAATTAAAAAAAGTATGTGTGCGTATGTATGTGAACCAATTTTTGACCTTTCGTCGTCGTTTTATTCAAAAACGGATGAACCGTTGTCAAAAGTTTAGAAGTCATTAGATGTAACTTGATAAGGACTAACGTTGATCAGTTTTACACAAAATTCAGCCAAGCCGTTTCTTTATAAATAGCAGAAAAGTGCAAAACTTTTCGACCACGTTTCAGCGAGAAATCTTTACCAAATTCTAAAATAGGATATCAATTATAACTAAAAGCGGTTCGAAAGATATAGGGTTAGGAATAGTGCTGATTAGTTTTTGGTAAAGTTCGTCGGGCCGTTTCCTCGTAATTGGTTGTTGAATTATTTGAAACAAATCAAAAATTTTTCTGAAGCTATTCATGGTGATTAAGATCATGGTCTTAAAGAACATACTGAAGTATTACGGCCTTACAGCAAGTAGTTCTATGTTTAAAAATTCATCAAAGTTTGGAATAATGGGCTAAGCTTTTAGGACATCAAATATACTTGTAGGACGCATGTTTGTGCACTATAATTCATATGATTAGATATGCAAAAACTTTATTTTAAAAATCACCATTTAAAAATTTGATCTATAAATAGCTAAATCTTAATTTTCCATGATATACACGTATGTGAATATTCAGGCAATTCGCCTTAAGGCAAAATGGCACTGATGCCTAGTTTATAATTCACTTAACCATTATTTTATTTCATATTATTTATTGAAGATGTACGTATAAATTTGAATATAATGGTAATAAAGCCAGGTGAAATGTAAGTGCCACAGAAAATATTGCTCATTTCACTCTGTACCCACGAGAGAATGTCATTATTGTTCTAAGGTCCTATCTTGCAACTCGAATGAGCAGCTAAATACAAAACCCGGAACAAATATGATATATCTTCATAACACAAGAGCAAACATAGAAATTTTCACTATAACAATAATTGCTTATTTATTTGATACAGCGCATGAAGTGTAACTGTAAGCAGAAAATTGGATGTTTCTTAGTAAATTCAATTATATATTAGCAAAGAGTTTACTGAAAATTATTCATAATAAAGTGTGAAAATATAATATGTCCATGATAAACTAAACTATAGTATATGATTACACGTATTACTAATTTGAAATTAAACTACTGACTCTATATGCACACTAATACGACCAGAAAACCAATAGAACAAAAACTCTTACAATTATCTTAAATTTTCTAAATATACAATTTAATCTACTTTGAGTAGCGCAAATATATATTATTTTAAGTAAGTGGATTGCTGTTAATATATATCTCACACATAACGCAAGTGAAATTAGGAAGTTGAAGAATTTTATCTTCTGCAGTTATTTTAAAGACATTCCAACTACAAATATTCATTTATAGATAGTAATTTTCAAGGGCGTACATCATAAAGAAATATTTTTATATGAGAACGTGTACATATACAGAATACTTGTTTTCATTATTACGCCATATGTTAGACATTCAATTAGTAAATTTTAATAAAAAGAAGTGGATAAATAGACTAGATAGGGTTATATAAATGTTTCCGCCAAAAAATGAACGATTAACGTCTCCACTTTCATTTATAATAGAAATCTAAATTACAAATATTCTAATGATTTGCACCCAATTTGGATCCTGGAATTAATCAACAATGATATAATACAAAAACATTATTTTAATTACAATGTTAACAATCGATAACACATATTGAATAACAAAGTTCTATTATTTGCTGATTAGAAAATGCGTGACTGTTATCTGAATTTGTTTTTAAACAATGGTTGAACGGATCCCGATTATTACTCTGTAAATAAAAATTTTATGGATTTTCATCAGTATTCAGAATCTATAGGAAGAAGAGCGACAATCACGCAATTGACATTCTTGGCTATAAATGCATACAAAATGACAAAGTTGAAGAGACATTTACACTCTTCATTGTAATATATCAGACTACCAGTAAACATCATCTAAGAAGTTACGCATTTTACTTTTGTATTAATTATAATTAAATATGCGTGTCAGATAATTAATCATTTTGTCCACTGGGCAAGTTCTGTGGGAATCCGCAAAATATCTTTAATTAACGATGTGCATACTGCACCGAGTGATATGTAAATTCTGAAGACTGTCAATTTTCTCTTTAAAATCACAATAATAAACAACCAGAAAAAGAAAAATAGACAACCAGTATTTGATCTAACGAACTATAAAAAAAAATTGAAGAATATTTAGAAATGGAAACATATCTAATGAGCACCTCGTATATTTGTCGCACATAGTTGCTTGTAATTGTTCAAATAAATATCATATTTGAAAAAAAAGGTATTAAAGAATATAGTATATAATTTTTATTCACAATTTAGAATAAGAACATTATTAACTTCCCAAAGAATGTTTTCTCGACGTTCCAAGTTATTCTGAATCGTTTGAGATCAGGCTTGGAAAACGTATACGATCTTGTGTATGTGCAGGTGTATGTGAGCCAAAATTTGCCATTTTGTGTACTTTTTCTCAGTAACGACTAAACCAATTTCAAACATATTCAAGCCAATCAATAAAACTTAAAAAGAATTCGCATTGATTGGTTTTCCGAGACGATCGACTAGGCCGTTTTTTTATATTTGAAGAAACTGCAAAAATTTTCGTCCACGTTTCCCATAAAGATCGGCTGTACCAGTGCCGTTTATTCGTAATAAATTGATAAAAATTATTTTTACGATTTTGATTACATTTTACAGTGTGGTTGCCTTACGCAAATGGTATTCTGATCTAGAGGAATAAATTTTATACCATGTTCAAAAGGGCGCAAAGAATTGGGCAAAAAATATTTCTACTATATTTTTATTACAAATTATTAAATAATGTTTTGAGAATATAAAAATTAATAGAAATTAATAAGAGCCATACAGTTTTAATTCTAGAAGGTGGTGATGTGGGGAATCTCCAAACATTGGTATCTGACCATACCCAGGGTTTTACGCCTCCAAATTATCAGAATAAGAAAAAAGATATATATTATTAATCTAATCAGCACAGCAGCTTATATGACTATTAAGTTCTGATTGTTGTTCAAAAATAATTGAATTAAAAAAATATTATTAATCTAGAATAATGTCGCCATCGTATGAAATACGGGCAAGTTAAAATAATTGTTTTTCACAAAATGGCGGCTGCATGAAGAAAAAATATTTTTATTACATTTTTTTTGATACTCTCAAAAAATAGTAAAAATAGGAATTTATACATGAACGTAATACTGAAGACAAATCTATAAAAAAAAATCTGTAAAAATTTCAAGTAAATCAGACCAGTAGAATTTGAGAAATCGTGGGAATCATCATATCGGAAAAGATAGTATCGTGAAAAACGAGTTCAAAGTGACGCGGAAGAAGAAAAAGAGGAGGAATATTGTCTTCCGAGTTTATCAGCTATAAATTCGCAAATAATCTGAGTTCTAATTATTAGAATAAAATGGATTTTTTCACATTTTGGACCAGAATACCCCCAGGATAGCAAAATGACACTTATGAGCTTTATGTACCAAAGTTCAGTGTACATGCATACATGCAATCCAAGTCGAGTTTTAAGAAATTGACCTCCATAATCTTGTGATTATTTTCATAAACAATTTAGACATATTGTTATATCGTAGTACGCCTATGGCTCGAATGAATTAATATGTGATTCACGGCTTGGCTCGCCGCGAACTTCCCGTCCGCTTATATTGCCAAATAACAAAAAGTGACTTCGAAGGGTCAAACCACTTTCAAATTAACCGCAGCCGAAATGCTAATATAGGTAAGTAGTATGAGTCGATGTCCCCGATAGCGTTTTATGATAACTTATATAATTTTTTTATATCTTAAGGCCGTTGATTTATGTGAGTACGTGCTGCCGAGTTTGATAAATAATCGCGTGTAGAAGAACATGCCAATATTTGACATTAGCATATTTTTAACACAGTTTTTTTTATGAAACTATCAATGATGTTTTGATTAATTTTGATGGGTGTATCAGTTATCTTATTTAACATAATACGATTCAGCGGCAGATTACTGTATTATTAGTACGTAAAAGTAGTAACTAATGCTTTTCTCATTTTCTTATTTGCGATATTCAAATAGGAATAAGGTGTAGAAGATAATTTTAATAATAACATTTAATAACAGCCAAAATAGATCAGCACATAGATGATACATTGGTCTCTCAACAATGATTTTATTCTGTTAATCTTAATATCAATTAATTATAGAATTACCTTCCGTAAAAAATCCAATAAGAAACGATTCGAATTCGTAAAAATATTTAAATAATAACATCAAATGTTTGTATTTGTTATTAATCTAAAAATATATTTAAAAAAACATAAATTAAGTATTTATAATTTAAAAAAAAGACTTATCTATTCCAAAATTGCGAAGCAATGGGAGTTGAGAGCTTTTCAATTTAATTAGTAATAATTTGAAAATAAAATACTTGGCACTGTAATTAGTGTTAGTGATATAATAGACTCCACAAAAAAACATTTGGAAATTAATATTTTATAATGTCGATCATACGCCGTTTCGATGAAATGACCACCCACCTTTTTCAGCTCATGAAGCCGAAATTCTTATTCTAGGTGTTATAAAATGAATATACACACACACACACACACACACACACACACACACACATATATATATATATATATATATATATATCATAAAGTTTGTGTTACTTACTTTAAAAAGAAGATAAAGAAGATTGAAAATGTCAATGCTAAGCTGGTATTCCTCCGCCGTTTTTAAGAAATTGAACTCCTTTGCGTCCTTGCTAAAATAGAGAGAATTAATTTTCATTAAAAATTGATCAAAATAACATTATTACAAGTTTTGTTGATGCTAGCAATATGTAGGGAAAACTGGATACGGCTGTGAGAAAAAAATCTAACTACATATAAGACAAAATACGAAAAAGACAACCGTATCATCTAGTCTCCCCTACTGCTATCATGCAACATATTAAGTAATTTTCAAATACTTCACTAAATTTAAATTTGCTAATACACACAAAATAGCACATTAATTTAAAATGTTACTTTCTCTATGATTACTTGCTCTATGTTTGTAATAATTACAACTTAAACGCTACTCTTGAGAAGTGCTAATATATGCCTAAATAAAACCAACCACTTCAAATTACCAAATAACTTATGGGCATTTCGGATCTTTGAATAATATCTACATGACAATTAATTTTCCTCTTTTCGATATTTCCCTACAATAGTACAAAATACCATTGCATGTGGCAGACCTTATTTATTTTCACTCGACGGAGTCAAAGAAATAAAAGCAACAAATAATACGCTTGAAATAGTTTTCAGACTTTAGGCATAGAAAACAGTGTACATTATGTGTTTCTGCAACTTGACTTAGAAGAAAATAGAAGGCATCTACAGTACATTGTAATTGAACTGAAAAGGGAATACCGAATTTTAATTAATAATAACTTCTGGATTTCATGTCAATATAGTCAGGATGTAAACATTGCAACATTGGCATATTATTATATTATTATAAGATGAACAGAATAATCTTTCCTGGTCCTCGTCAATTTTAACATAAAATCTTGAACACAATAACAAAACTTCAAGACATTAATTATTAGTGGTTAGCACGTAGGCTTGCAATCAGGCGGGTCGCGTGTTCAATCCCCGTCACGAATAACCCTGATATCGGGCAGTAGCGATATCAATTTTCACTTGAGATAAAGATCTTAAATATGCCTCCAAGTAAAAATAGGCCTTCCCGGAAATTGCTGCGCCAAATTGAATAATGAATCAGCCTTATTAAATAAATTATAATAATAAAATAACCAAATATGGATAGATCAACCGTTGGGTTACCATTTAAAAAATAAGACGTAAGAAGTTTCAGCCCAACAGCTTATAGAACGTGAGGTTTTGATTGCTGTTTCAATATGATTAACAAAAAACAATTATCAATCTATTCTATTAATTTACAAAAATGTCAGGTAAATGATAAAACTCACTTTTCCCGGCTTTTCAAAAGACAATTCTATATCATCTTAAGTGAATATAAAAAATATTTACAATATATGTAACATACATTAACAGCCCCTAAAGTGCGCAAGGAAAATGTAATTTGCACGCCACGCAACACAACTTAGCTGGTAATAACTTTTTAAAAAAATTGTCTCTGGAAACATAGATTAACAGATTATTCCAAGGCAAATTCGGACTCTATTCGGTACATGTATTTTCAATTTTTGTTCATATCCACTGAGGATGACACAGAATCCTCCTTTCAGAATATTTTTGAAGGACATAACATAATTTATTTTACTGCAATGCCGCTGCGTGACAAAGTACATTTACAAATTTATTAATATATTAAATTCAAAATGCGCAATGCATCATCTACTGGAATTTAGAATGATGGAATTACATACATTAAAATTGTGCAATCGCCAACTCTGCACGTCATGTAATTTGAATTATACTATGCAGTCCGCTATGCTTTGTTTTGTCGCAAGAAATCTTCTGAAACTCTATGTTTATTCTGTTTAAAATTACACCGAACAGTACCGTGTTTCTTGCGAATCGTGTGGATAAATTTAAAACACGTACTTATATCGCTCTGTGGTTCACACAGTCCGTGATTTGCGTTTGTTTCAAATTGCTGATTTCGTCGCTCGTAGCGCGTTCGACAACTATCGAACAATTTCAACGATTCCGTATACAATGTAATGATATTTGTTGATATTTCACGAATTTACGATATCGTTAAGTCGAGCTTGGCTGAAGCTTTGAAACGAACATTCGATGTGCTAAAATTACTTTTGAATTTTGAAAATAAATAAAGTAGCAAAATCAAGAACATAGTATAATAACTATAAAGAAAATATAGAAATACACTACGACAATTAATTTTAAAGGAAATATGGACAAAATGACAAAGTGACCTTGTTTGAAAATTGGCTAGTTTTAGTAACGTTTCTGCGACTGTATAACGTTAAGAAAGCTGTAAGCGCAATCCTGTCAGATGTTGAGCGTCATTGTCACAGTCTCGTCGCAGTAATCAGTTCAAATGTATATTGCCCTTTCAAAAAAAATTTTTGAGGGTAGATTTTTCGTATTTTTTTTAAATTCATTTATAATTTGTAGATAATGATTTCTATTCAAATCAATGAACTTCTAGCAACACTAGTGATTTCGATCAATCTTATTTTTAAGAAGTTTTTATTATTAATTCATTTTTGTTCACTTTCGGACAAAGTGGCATATTTATACAATGGACAAAATGATGCAAGTACAATTTCCCAAGAACTACAGTGTGGTTTATTTAAGATCAAGAAAAAAGAAAATTTAAACCTATCAAAGTTCACTGCCTTTTAACATCTACTCCAATACTTCCAAAAACAGACAAAAGGATTTACCGGTAAAAAGTATTTATTGATAACCCTCTTTTTTCCTTTCTAAGCTCGGCGAATGCTGATTACAATGTATGATTTATTCCTTTTGGACTTATGTCTTATGTGCTGATGTCCCAAAGAAAAAAAAAGATTATATTTTTAATAAAATTGTATCTCAGAATGTCTATACCTTATGTCATTTTGCTCGTACTAATGATTTTTGTTATTAGTTGGATTCTTCCTTAATGAAAATATTAATATAGTTTCTACTTAATTAAAAGATTAAGTTGCTGATAGTCAATGAATCAAATATCAGTAAAAAGATGATTATTGGTCATAATATTATTAAAGTAAATATAATTCAAAATCAAAACACCATGCCATTTTGTCCGTATTTCCACCCTACATTGTTAAATAATTAGCTCATAAAATAAAATTTTATAATAATATACTCTGCCCGAATACAAATCCGAGAGCTAATTACGTAAATTTATTGTCAGAGAAAGTTAATGTTAAAGATTTGTCATTGGATTTTCCCAATAGCTTTTTCTAGTCAATATTTGACGACGTCGCATCTTTCATTATGATGCCGGCTAATAGCGGCATATATATTTTACATAATATTTATAAAAATTAATTCATTTATTTATGAAAACAGCACAGTGTGGCTGAAAACTCCAAATAATTAGAGTAATTTTTTTATGTTGCCGTCTATAAGTTCAACTCGATTATTTCCATAATTTCACAAAAATAAAAATAGGTCATATTTGTCTAAATGAATAAAAAAATATACAAAAAAATATGAAAATATTAGATTAACTAACACGAAATAAAACTTTACCAAATGTACTAAGAACAATTCATATCTCTATAAACAGAAGCAAAATATCATTTTTGGATTATTATATCTTATACTTATTAAAAATTACATTTCTTAGCAGATATGCTACTGGGTGTATCTACTAATTTCTAATCAATATTACTTTCTCATATATATCTTCTCTTTAATTGTTTTTGATTATTATTCTGTAATTGTATTATATCGCATAATAAAGTTGAATAAAAAAAGACAAAAATTTTCATATTGAGTTGAATGCAGGCTAAATCTGATATGCAAAGACTTATTATAAAATCTAAGCTTTTCAAAGCTTAGCTTCGCTAGGAAAACCATATTAAATTTGAGAAAGAACTTTTTGAAAAATTTCAAATAAATTCAAACAATATTTTTATAACTAGTTTTCAAGATTAAATCCACATTTTCCTACTCAATGACTACGTAAAACAATAAAACAATATTTTGAAATTCAATAATGTATGCTTGATATCAGAAAATAATCAAGTAGAATTTGATTTCTTAATAATATGACTGTTTGTCTTACTGTTAATGAATTTGTAACAACTTGCCAAAAATTAATCAAGCCAAAGCCAATGATTTAAAGCGCCAAGAAAACATAATATTAGTGAATCCGGTTTTCAAGCTAAATCAAACCTTTTCTCAAAAAAACTTAGAAATTAAAAATATAAATAATAAAACATTTCCACATAAAATTAAACAGAATGAATAAATACATATTTATTAAAATATAATGATTTCAAAAAAGCTCAAAAATATCTATAAGCATTTTATTAATATTTAAATTGTACTTAAAAGTTACTTAAATAAAATGACTATCTATAGATTAATACATAATTAATATACGACAAATTAATCCAAATTAAACCATATGACTAACACAAATGCAGCAATTCTCACGATGTAAAAGATGAATAAACAAATAAAGATTAAAAGATAATCCAAAAATATAATACTGAATAAACAGATTTTTAAAATAAGTATAATACCGAAATTAAAAAGGTTATTTACTGATAATGCGCTTATGTTTCCAAAAATCATAAGATAAAATCTTGTAAAACCCCCAACTTAAGGCAAGAATGCTGCAATAGTACGAGTAAAAACTTACAACTGATTGTGAGATAAATAAAAAATTACCTGTTACCCTTTTGTGTTTTTTTGTAAAGAAGTAATAACAACCTGTCAAATATTTATTTTACTTTCTTTCTTTGCCAACTTTTAAAACTTGGATAAAATTCTCTCGGTCCAGTGAATGAGCGCGCAGAAAGTCATATCGGGAGCTGGACTGATGCAAATAGACAAATCAAGGTTCTCGTATTTCAACGTTCGTTTTTGAAATATGAATAAATGATCTAAATACCCGATGTTTATATTTACTTTCATTGACCTTAATGTGTGTAGGAAGCGCTAGACAAGATATTTATTAAGTCGCATTGCTTTTGGCAAGCGCCGAGAATTGTGCGTACCAACTGTTTATGCGTATGTTTATATAACTTTGGCTTGTTATTATTATTATATAATGCGTGTTTTCCTTATTTAGATCGTC